GTGGTAATCACCAAAATGCAGTCACCTAGTGGGTGCTCCTGGGATGACATTTATGCACCCTGTTTCTGTGACACTTGCTGAAGCAGGAGCGCTCACTCTCACAGAGCTGCAGGGACAACTTAGCGATATCTGGAGTTTAGTTGGTTCAAGTCATGACTCAGAAGAAAGTATTATCCCTCTGGGCCTCTGGCGTGCTTCTATCTGGGGACAGTGCATCCAGTGCCGGGCTTTTCCCCTTTTCCTCCTGGCCTGGTAGAAGCTCACCATCAAAGGACACCACATCTGATGCCACATGACCTTCCACGTGCATTTTCTGGTAATCATTTGATTGCTCATACTTTGACTTGGGCTTGATAGTCTTTTTTCCTTTATTATGTTGTGTGACCCTCTTTTACAAATCTTTGTAGTCTACCTAAAGTCATTTTTAGAAGAAAAAAGGCACAAAAACAAACAAGCTAAGTATAGTTAGAAAGATGCTGAGTTCTCTGAGAGGCATCTCTGTGAGCTGGGGATAGAGAATCTCACTGGTGGCCAGGCAGTGGTGGCCCACACCTTTAATCCCTGTACTTAGAAGACAGAGCCAGGTAGATCTCTGTGAGTTTGAAGTCACAGAATGAGTTCCAGAACAGGCTCCAAAGCTACAGAGAAACTCTGTCTTGAAAAACCAAAAACAGAAAAGAAAAAGAAAAAGAAAGAAAGAAAATCTCACTGGCGAGGGAAGATCAGGTTTCTAAATATGGCTTTCTCTCAAAGCAGGGCTTGGGGCAAGGCACTTAACTTGTCTGGATGTCAGCCTGTGAGAGGCTTGCTCGCAGCCCTAAAATCCTCACAGCTTCTCATCCCATTTTGCTTCTATTACAAAAGTTGTAAATATTACATCCCCTCGAGAGACCATTTGGAATGAGGTCCACTTACATAGCCAACTTTTAATGGAGGGTCTCCTTAGTGTAGGAAAGTGTTACTTTATACTTGTAGACATGACTCCAGAACCTGACTTTGCAGAATTAATTCAAGGTATCCTTTTCATGGCCCTAAGGACTGAACTCAGGGCTTGCATACAATAGGCAAGTACTCTTCCATTGAGTACTTGTAGAAGTTTTTCCAAGACTACCTCCAAGAGAGATAAAATCATTTCTGTTATAACTGCAAGAACTCTGATGCAACATAAATATTGAACTACTTGGGATCAAGATAAACAATTTCTCAACTATAACTTCAAAATCTTAAGTATTAAGATGATACAGAAATGTGGACATGAATATATGTACCAACATATATATATAACATATATATAATTATATGTAAATATTTTACTGATTCTGGATGTCCTGTTGATGGGGAACTTTGGCCAATCACCTTCTGTTTAGGGTGTGTCCACCTGGGGCCACAGAAAAACAGATAAAATACCCATGCGCACTTGTTTCTTCCTCTTTGTGTTCCCGCTTTCCTGAATCACTGGAACCCTGGTTTTGTAAGTTTCCTTTCTTCTGTTTATTAAAGCTGAATATTATTTTAAGTTGGTTTGGTTAATTACAACTTCTGATCAGTCTCACCCATCATCCTGTATATGTGTTGCTGTTATTGGTTGATGAATAAGGCTGTTTTGACCAATGGCTTAGCAGAGTAAAGCCGGGAAGGAAACCAGAACAGATATATATATGCCATGTAGCTGCCAAAGGAGAAAGATGCCAGAAAATCTTACCAGTAAGCCACAGCCTCGTGGGGATACATAGATTAACAGAAAAGTGCTAATTTAAGATACAAGAGTTAGCTGGGCGGTGGTGGCGCACGCCTTTAATCCCAGCACTCGGGAGGCAGAGGCAGGTGGATCTCTGTGAGTTCGAGGCCAGCCTGGTCTACAAGAGCTAGTTCCAGGACAGGAACCAAAAGCTATGGAGAAACTCTGTCTCGAAGAAAAAAAAAAGATACAAGAGTTAGCCAGAAATATGCCTAAGCTATTGGTCTTGTAGTGTTGTAATTGATATAGTTTCTTTGCGATTATTCGGGTCTGAGCAGTCAGGAAATGAACAAGCCGTCTCTGCCTACATTTTACTAAATAGTAAATAGATAAACACACATGTTGACAATGATTTAAGTTGCATAAATGTTGTTAGCTTATACCCTTAGAAAGGAGTTCCAAAGGGGGCTGGAGAGATAGCTCAGTGGTTAAGAGATCTTGATGCTCTTTCAGAGGACCCAAGTTTTGTTCTTAGCACCCAGGGAGGGCAGCTCACAGTCACCTGTAACCTCAGCTCCACGCAACCCCACAACTTCTTCAGGCATCTGCAAGCAGAACACACACACACAAATAAAACTTTTATTTTTAAAAAAGAAAGGAATGTAAAAGACTTTAAATGGCTACATTTGTAACAGAGTAAGTAGGTGTGTTCTTAGGGATAGTAAGTAGGAAAAATTAAAGGATTGTTTCTGCTATCAAATTATCCATTGCTTTGAGATCTTAGATTCAAATTTGGGTGTAGGCGTTAATTTCGAGGTCTTGATGTTTCCTGTAGTTGAAGACTGAAGAGGTCTCAAAAGTAGATAGGCCAGATCAAGATGTTTACCTAATACTTTCCAGTTCTTGTCCCATTTAAAAAAATGGGAGTGAAGATGAAGACAAATTTAGGTATTGGAAGAAAAGTTTATTTAAAAGAAAAACGAGACACAGAGGAGCCAATGCTGGTTCCTCAACAGGGTCCCTCTGTGTAGGATTGCAGGTAACTTTTTCATGGGGATGCTTCCATAGAGGAGTTGAGGTTGTGAAAGGGCAGAGCATTTCAAGCACTGGTCAAAACTTGCCCAGAACAGGGGCATTGCCCTTTTCTGTCCTTCCATGGGATTTCAGAGTGCGGCAAGGCCTCAGGTGCATGACTGGAACAGGCACTGTAGTGAGGCTGAGGACACAGAGACACCATCATGGTGACACAGAAGGCAGTCGGCAGCTGTCTGGTGGGTAGTTTGGGCTGGTCTTGCTGTGATGTTGCTCTATATCAATCAGCCTTTAGCCACTCTGCGGTGTGCCTGTTGTTTCCCTGTGAAAATAGGATGCCTTATTAGTGCCTGCAACTGGGACCAGACTTTAAGTCCTTCATTAGTGGATCCGATGACTTGTGAAACCAAAGTTAGTCAACTTTTCTTGCCACTTTACAGTGTCAGCCTTATTTTGTCTTTAGCAGAACTAAGCTATCTTCTAAGAATTCATTTTTCTCTTCTGCGTATTCTTCCTGGTAAGTCATAAATCTATGTATGTATGTATGTATGTATGTATTTATTTATTTATGACATAGCAACCAGCTAGAATACCTCAAAGAGGACAGGGACTTTGGGAAATGGATAAACCACAGAAACAAGTGAATAATAAAAATATCATATTTCTTATTCCCAATAAGAATAGAAATAATATTAGGATAAGAATGTATGCTATTGAAAAAACTGCTATAGGTTTTGGGGGAAACCCAAGCTCCACCTCTTCAGTAGAGCACTTATAAAAGGGCCACAGGGCATAAGTAGATGACAGATCAGGAAACCTGTTTGGATGGTTTTGTCTTCATGGTAGTGTGACTTACAGAGGGTAAAATGCGCGTATCTGAAGATTCTAATATCTTTAAAAAACATCAGACATGTCTATGCAGTCAATACCCAAACCAAGATGGAACCATGGACCACACCGACATTGTCAAAAAGGCTTCCGTCACGTTTCATTTCTTCCAGCTCACCCTGACCAATGTAGCCACTGTTCAGCTTGGTTTCGGCTTCGATTAGTTTTATCTGTTTGAATCATAATAGTGGAATTATATAATTATATTATTTTGTATCTGTCTTGTTTCGTGCAATACATTTTGAGACCCATCTGTGTTAGTAGTCTCTTCCTTCCTTTCTATGGCTAAATAGCATTCCACGGCGTGAACAAACCATAGTCATTTATTTCTGGTGGTGATTCACTTGCAGTCAGTTTATATAAAGTAAGATGGAAATCTTAAGCCAGCCTGCCCATATGACCTCCTCTCTCATCCGATTATCAACATTTTACGTAACTAGGAATAAAATAAGATCAAAATCCCTTAATTCAGAATGACAAAAAAGGCAAATGTGGAAATTTTATTTTTTGTCAGAGTAATGAGTTTCATTGTGTTCCTATTTGCACCTGAGCCATGGCATCCACCTCGGTACAAAGAAGAGATCTTCCCCTGACTGCTCCTGTGAATGAATCTATGGGGTTTCAGCTCACACTCCACTTATTTCAGGGCTCCTGTGAGGCAGATAAACTTTGACTTGGGCTGTCCTCCACCCCTTTCTCCTTTGGGTGTCTTCTTGCTTCTCAGGACCTCCTTGGGAATGGCTGTCCTGATTCCAATCTCAAGTGGCCTTGACCCCAGGTGGCCTTGACCCCAGTTGGCTGTGGCAGATGGAACTTGTCCTAATAAGCTAGTTCTAGAGGTTAGGAAATGGTAGCGTAAGGGCTGTTCCTTGCCAGAGGAAATTTATATTTTAAAATGGGGATGCTGGGGCAAGCAGCACATAGGATTTAGTCAATAAATGTTGTCTCCGTTCTGCTGAAAGTTGAAGTTATTTTATTTAAAAGTAAAGTTAGAGGTTAAGACAGTGGTTTTCAGAACCAGAGAGACTTCATGGCATCCACTGAACTCTGCAGGACCGACCCTGCCAGCATGCCTCTTGCTGTCAAATAAAGGCAAGCTGGAGGCTCTGAAGTCATCCAGACCAGTACTCAGGCACCTCTTAAACTTTCTCACTATGGCTTCATTGTGGCTATGCGGTCCTTCACAGGCAGGGATGAACAGGGCTTTGAAATGCTAGCTTATGTTATTTTTCTCGAGTTTGCCAAGTCACTCCCAATGCTGACGGGGCTCCCTCCCCCCAATTACTGCAGCAGAGATGAGAAAAAGGAAGAGGAGGAGAAGGAGAAAAAAAGAAGAGGTGGGAGAAGGGGCATATATCCTCATGGTAGGGTACCTGAGGCAATGAGTCGCATAGAGAATGTTCGTTCTGGTTCTTGATTTTGGAGGTCTGCCTTGATCAGATCTCTGTGATTAGACGGGCTGCTGCTTTGGGGCCTGCGGTCAGGGAACACACCGAGGCAAGGAACATGGTGAAACTAAACTCTTCACTTTCTGACCTGGAGCCAAAGAGACAGGAGGAAGAAGAGACTGGGGTCTCATAGTCTCCTGTAAAGGCGTACCTCGAGTGACGGAAAATATCCCAGTAGGCATCATTTCTTAAGGTTCTCATCACTTTGCTACAAGTCCGGGGACCAAACCTTTAACACGTGGCCCTTTGGGAGACAATATAGATCCCGATTATAGCAAGACCTTTGAAATAAGAGACGAGAGTTTGAGGTAGAGATTTTGAGTTTCAAAGCCTAGATTATCCAAACCAAGGTTCCTAAGGACTACATCGCTTTCTTGCACTGTGACGTACTGACCTGGAAAATGAAGTGTTTCTCAAGTGACATGGAGAAAGGGAGAAGGAGACTATGTGTTGGTCACTGGTGAATGTCCCAGAGGAGTCACATCTGTCCCTGGCAAAGTCTGGTGAGGAAGGACCCTCTAATAAGTTTCGGGAGCCGAGAGCAAATGAGAACCCCCTGGCTCCGTAGCTGGAGCTGACCAAAGAGACACACCTGAAAGCCATGACCCACACCAGTACGACAGAACGCAATGGTGGACAGTGGTGATGGCACAGGCAGTGTGGCAGAGAGAGCCTCAGGCCTCAGGCCTGCCACTTAGGAGAGCATTTGAAACTCTTTGGCTACATCCAATATCATGACAGGCACGGGCTTGATGCATCTGTAGCCTCTATATGATTGACACATTGCCAGACAAGTTATGCTGGGGGTGCTGGATCAGATGGCCGCAGAGATCAAATTAAGATACTTAGATCACTCTGTTCATTAAACATGGGATGCCAAGGAAGTCTTGAGAAGGACTGCAAGGAGTGGATGAAGTCCTGAGTGGATGTGTATTATCGACACGGACCAGTACCTCAGACCATGAAAACTGGCCAAGCCTTCCTCTGTCCAAGAACAAGGATTCTTGAGCGATTAACCAGTATGTGCAAAAACTAGCTACTGTGGCTTCCTGGTCCTGGATGACTGCACCTGAGATTGCTCACCCCTGCGACATCCGACTGCAACTAGTCAGTCCCTTCTCCTCGTGTACATAATGAATACAGTGAGGTCCCAGGTTGTCACACCAACCTGTGCTGGGTGTGGTGATTAAATCACTAGAAAGCGCACATAGAGAAATGAGGAGAGAGGCAAGGTCCTCAGCAAAGGGTCTGGCAGGACAGAAGGGCCAGGCCACCTGAAACCTCGACTGCTTGAGCAGTGTTTAAAAGCGTCCCATGGGCTTTCCCTGCCAATGTTATGGCTACACAGATAAAGATGAGTAAAGAGGTCTGAGTCAGAAGATGCCCAGGGTCGATACAGTCTTCTGTGCTTAAGGGAAACCACCTGGCTAGGGCTGGGACTCCCCAGTTAATTGGTGAGCAGCTCTGGGTTTTATACTGTCTTAATTGGGGGCTGAATGAATGTTACCAACAGGTGGACCATTGCAGACATCATAAATACAAGTATTTCACATGCCTCATGCGTCGTTAGTATGCCTTGAGGTATAGATGCCTCTGCTGCCCCTTGAGAGTTAGGGCTCTCTTAGTTCCTCTGTATCTCCGTATCTGTGTGTGCATAATAAGTTCTCTTTACCCATGTTTAACAGGCCTACGGGGCTGGAGAGATGTTCAATGGGAAGAATGCTTGTTGTGCAAGAATGGAGACCTGAGTTCAAGTCCCCAGCAAACCACTTAAATATCTGGGTGTGTCCAGGTGTACCTCTTACCCCAGTGCTGTGGGTCAGGGGGTGGGGGGATGGGGAACAGACTGCTGAGGCTTGCCAACCTAGCTCCAGTATCAGTGAGTGATCCTATCTCAAGGAAACAAGATAGAAAGTGACAGCACAGGTATCTGATGCCTTCCTCTGGTCTCTGTGAGCATGAGAACACAGGTCATCTGCCTAAACACACGCACACACACACACACACACACACACAGCATGAGCACACAGGTGCATCTGCCTTCATACACACATGCACACACACGCACACGAAGAAACTAAGAGAAACATGAGTGTAGAAATTGCTCGTTTCCTTATCTCTATTTAAAACACCAAGGAGTGTTACCACCCCATCTGTGTTTTCTACAGGAGGATTGCCTGTTATCAGTTATTAGAGCAAATACACGCTCACTCAGCAGTACTCCCTACCCCTAGACATACACCCTAGGAGGGCACAAATAATTCTGACAGGGTGGCCAGCAAATCAGAAGACACAGCTTGCTGAAAGGTCAATGATCAGAGAGTTAAATCCGAACTCCGACAGCTCAGCAAGTGACAGAAGAACTGAAATCCAGAGACCCTCGGAGCCTGTAAACCCTAGAGGCAGAGGATGCCCCAAGGGGATTTCCTGAACTGCTTTTGCTGAGCTTGCCTTGTACTGATTGCATTTACAGCGCAGGGAAGATCAGCGTCAAGGATGCTCAAAGATGTAGATGGCTCCTCCCCCACCAGACATGCAGAAGGATTCTGCCATCTCAGGACGTCCTGCAGGGTCACGGGTGACACTAGATGTAAACAGGGCTGTGGAAGAAGGCCCAGCCTGCCCTCCCTAAACTTCGTCATTGACATCATCATTTGCTGACATGGAGACAGTACAGGATCAGCAGCAACTTGACTTCATTTCCATTGCTTTATATTTTGGTCATTTGTTGTTTAGTTTGGTTGGACTGTTTCTATTTTAATTTTATCCCTTTTGGTAATTTCATACAATAATGCTATGCATTTAGATTATATTTACTCCCACTCTCCCCAAAAGTGACTCGACCCCCACATCCTCTCCCAACCTCTTGTTGCCTCATATTTTTAAAACCTATTAAGTCCAGTTAGCATAGCCCTATGCACATGGGTATAGGTACCTCTGTGAATCATAGGCAACCTACCATGAACCACATCCCTGAAGAAAACCGGCTCTTGGCTCTTCCTCTCCCATCAGCCATTGCGCTTTTTGTTTAGGGTTTATTTTGTTTGTTTAGAAATAAATGCTATTATTTACTCACATGCTTTCTCTTATCTTTTTCGTGGCATTTGTCTTCAAGATGAGTCTATACAGGAGAGAGACTCACTAAATAGGGAGAAGTCAGCCCTGGTGGTAACAGACAAACCTGGGTATCATTTGCTAGGTGAGGCTGCAACCCAGGGAGATAGAAATGGACATTGGCTTTTTCTCTGAGTGTGAAGGTAGCCACTGGTAGTGCCTATGGGGATGGAGTACAATGTGAGCCTTAAAAGGCTCACCATAACTGCTATGTAGAGAATGAATTGTAAGGGGATGAGGTCACCACAGAGAGACTGCACTACACTGCACGAATCCCTGTGACTTACAGTAGCTGCTAGACCCAAGGTGGAGGTGACTGAGCAGGTGAGAAGTACCTATTTCCTGAATTTCCCTGATGGGGAAGCTGCAGGACAGTTGATGGGTGGTCACTGGGGTACAAGGGGCAGAGAGAAACAAAGGGAGGAAGTGTGTGCTTTGGCCTCAGCTCCTGGAAAAAGAGCGTTCCTCTTTGTTGAACTGGGATATTTGGCAAAGAAATAGAGGTTTTTCAGGATATAACTAGAGGGCAAAGCACTGGCTTAGTATGTGTGAGGTCCTAGGTTCAACCCCCAATACCACAAAAGAAAAAAGAGAACGTATTGGGAGGAGTGTTCTGGAACAGGCCACATTTGAAGGGACGAATTAACCACCAAAGTAGCAATCCAAATACACACCTGGAAATGCAGGTGACAGGAAAGAGCTGGCAATGCGTGCAGTTCCGTGTCACCTAAAGCCTTAGGAGTGAGAGTCCCCTCTGCCTTCTTCTTCCCCCCTCCCTCCCTCCCTCCCTCCCTTCCTTCTTCCCATCCTTCCTCCCTTTTTTCCTCCTTTATTATTTCTTTTGTTCCTTCTACCTTCCTTACTTTCTTCCTTTCTATAGGATCTCATTTATGTAGCCCAGGCTGGTCTCAAACTCACAATCTTCCATCCCTGGAGCTATGTTAGTTAGGAACTTATAAAGGCAAAACCCACAAGCTCACATTCCAGTTACACGTAAGCCTGTATCTTGCCCATGTGCAACCTGGATAACTGCTTGTTTTCCTGAAGAAAAAAAAAAAAAAACAGGAAGAAGCCAAGTATGGCTGTGCTCCCCTGTAATCTCAGCACTTGGAAGCTTGAAGCTGGGCAATCACAAGGACAGCTTGGGCTACATAGCTACACCTTGCCTCAGAAAAATAAAACTGGGAAGGATTAGCATATTGGCAGAGATGGTAGGTTCCACTAACTTGGGTTGCCCAAGTGAGAGGAATATGTCTATTCACTTCTGTGAGGCAAGCATTATCTGCCTCACTTGATGGTGTCTGAGATTTGTTGAAATATGACTTAAAAAAAAAAAGGACAAGGTTTCTCTATACAGCCTTAGCTGTCCTGGAGCTAGCTCTGTAGACCAGGCTGGCCTAAAACTCACAGAGATCCACCTGCTTCTGCCTCTCAAGTGCTGGGATTAAAGGCATGCACCACTCCCAGTGAAATATACATTTGGTTTTGTACTTTTTTCTTCTTTTTTTCCTTATACACAAATGTTTTTTGTTTTCATTGCATGTGCTCCACCATTTATCCCTCCCAACTCCTCCAGGGTCTCCCCCTCATATCCTTCTCTCAACTTTATGTGTGTGTGTGTGTGTGTGTGTGTGTGTGTGTGTAGCAATTTTCATATAGCATGGGGCCATCTACCAATGGCTCCACCTCTGCAGAAAACTGACTTTCTTTCTGCTGGTAGCTGTTAACTGCCTACAACTTTTCAGCTAGGAGCAAGGCCTGGTGAGTATCCCCCCCACACACACCATACTGGAAAGTACTAGATGGCTCTTCGGCAGGTCTACTGTCACACCCATGGCAGCGGAGAGCTCACATGTCGCGTCCAGAAGCCACTGTTTTGTGGCCATCCTCCTTGACCCCTGGCTGTTGAGGTCTTTATGCCTCCTCTCCCTCAATGCTCCCCGATCTCTGTGGGGAAGGGGTGTGATGCCAACGCCTCATTTTGGGACGAGCACTCCAGTGTCACTTTTTCTCGGCTCTTTGACTGTTTGTGGTTCTCTGTGTTAACTTCCATCCGCTCCCAACAGAAGCGCCTCTGAAGTAGTGAGAGCTGGACTATTTATGAGTATGAGGATAAGTATTTAGATAGCTCGTAGATACTAGGTAGTTAGACACTACATCAGTTTAGCAAAATGATGCCTATGAAGATACAAAAAGCTTATAGAACACCAAATAGACTGGATCAAAAAAAAGTTTCCTTCACCACATAATAATCAAAATACTAAACTTACAGAATAAAGAAAGAATATTAAGAAGTACAAAAGAAAAAGGCCAAGTAACATTAAAGGCAGACCTATCAGAATTGATAAGTCCTTATGTATTTATTTGGGAATTGCATGACAGGTCCCCAAAGAGTTTAAAAAAAAAAAAGAAAGAAAGAAACTACAGGTCATTCAGTCCCAAGGATGCTCAAACCACCAAATTGTACACTGAGCCTATGATATAAAAATTAAATCTTAATTAAAACACTTATAAGAAACCCATTATGAGTAGTGCTAAATCACATTATGCTTCATGTAAAAATTAACATAATACTTACTGAAATTCTGTTCCAGAAGGACTGTTCTATTGGCGGAATGGCCAGTCGATATATTCAACTGGCACAATTCAGAATTTCCCAACAGCCACCTCAGATCATAGCAGGTCTTTGGATGTTAATAAATATAATACTTCTTTCTAAAAATAAAATAATAAGGTTTATAAATAATGTAATTTTTATTTATAAAATGATATGATTTTTATAAAAATAAAAACAAAAATGTGGGAATCACAGATTGATCATCAATATTAAATGTAAAGCCCTGAAAACACACATACAAATGACTTTACACATACTCAGTTGGTGTACTTTTATATTTGTGAATGTGTGCGTGTGTGTGTGTGTGTGTGTGTGTGTGTGTGTGTGTGTGTGCGTGTTCAGCAACAATAATGGAGGAGATCCTAAATTTGAAAGAAAGTAAGGAGGGGCATATGGGAGGATCTGAAGGGAGGGATGAGAAGGAAGAAATGATGCATTTATATGATAATCTAAAAACACCAAGGCCAGCTGGCCTGGGTCTGAAAAAGCCTGGGTTAAAACCGGTCTCACTGAATGTAGCGGACAATGAGGACTACTGAGACCTCAAGAACAATGGCAATGGGTTTTTGATCCTACTGCACCTATTGGTTTTGTGGGAGCCTAGGCAGTTTGGATGCTCACCTTACTAGACCTGGATGGAGGTGGGTGGTCCTTGGACTTCCCACAGGGCAGGGAACCCTGATTGCTCTTTGGGCTGACGAGGGAGGGGGACTTGATTGGGGGAGGGGGAGGGAAAGGGGAGGCGGCGGTGGGGAAGAGACAGAAATCTTTAATTAATTAATAAAGAAATAAATAAATTAAAAAAAGAAATATAGTAATACAAATATTGTTGAAATTAAAAAAAAGGAAATAAAAACCGTGTTTTCCAGGCTTGCTACTGTTAGAGTGCTCTGAGCCATAGCAGACAGATGGCTTAGTGAATTCACAAGAAAAAGTTACTGCACTCATTCCACCACGAAGCTTCTCATCACAGAGCGTCGTGCACAATCCGCCTTCCATGACGTGAGTGCTGGCAATGCTGGTGTCAGTGCCTCATCTCAATGAGCCTACAAACAACCAACCAGGCAACACCTCCCACAGCTCCTCACACAACCCTAATATTTTCAGTCACAAGTTGGCATCCATTTCTGAAATTCAGTGACAGCTGAGTTGGAAAATCAGTCTTCCAAGTGCTTGCTGCAGAACACGTAAGGGCTCAAATTCGTTCCCCACAACCCACATAAAAATCGAGGTGTGATGGCATGTTTGTAATCCCAACATTGGGGAGCCAGAGCTAGGAGCTTCCCTGTGACTTATTGGCCAACCAACCATGCAAAACCAGTGAGTCCCAGGCCCCAGTACAAGACAGTCTCAGAAAACAAGGTGGGGCTGGGGAGGTGGCTGGGCATGGAAAAGCACATCAGGTATGCCTGATGACCTGAGTTTGATCTTGGCACACATCTCTGATTCCAGCACTCCAACAAGAGATGGAAAGCAGAAACAGGAGGAGTGGCTACCATAGCAACAGAAACAAGACAGCCGCTGCCTCCAAACAAGGTCAAAGGTGAGGCGTGACTTCCAAAATGCTATCTCCATAAGTGTGCTGTGGCACTGGTGTGCCTGTTCTCTCTCTTCTTTTCCCATATCTCCCTCCCTCCCTCTCTCACTGTCATTCACACACACACACACACACACACACACACACACACACACACAGTAGGTGATAGATAGATAGATAGATAGATAGATAGATAGATAGACAGACAGACAGACATGTACACATACACTCAAATATAATTGCAACACACACATGAATGAACTTTCACCACACACACACACACACACACTAAAGTTAGCTGGTTCCATACTGAGAAACATCTAAAATTGACCTTTGGCCTCCATACCTATAAGTACATATAACATATGCACCCCCACACATCAACGCTCGCCACACACACAAAGTTCAGTGGCAATCATTTTTATTCTCTGGACTATTTTCTTCTCTATGCAGTACTATAAATGTGAGCAGAGTGATTTCTTTAACCAATCAGCACTTCTGTGGTTTAAGTCTGCCTGCTGCTGTGAGATAGAAGTGGCGTGCATTTTCTCCTGAAATAGAAAGGCATTCTAGGAACACACACCAGCCCTCGGTAATCCTTCCATCTCTGGCCCGTGGATCAAACCATTCTCTCAGGGTTCCACTTTCTGTCTTCCTCAGTAGAGAAGCTTTGGCAAACTCAACTGGAAAGGTTTCAAATTGCTCAGTCTTTATTAATTTTACAAAATATGCTTTGAAGTATTGCAATCAATGTTTTAAACTAAATGGCACACTTGAAATTAGTGAGCAAATGCTTGGGTCTTTAGCTGTCTACACTTGCGGTGCTGCAGCACACACAGCCCTTCCGGCTGCCATTCCTCCCCTCCCGCTGCATCACTGCTGGGGTTCCAGGGACCGGAATGACTCAGAAGTAAAGCAGGAGAGGAGGGGAAGGCTGGGACACAGTAGCATGTGTCTTTGGTGCCAGGTACTTGGGTGGCTGAAATGAGAGAGAATTGCTGGAATCTGGGCACCATAGCAGGGATCTGTCTCAAAAGAGAGAAAAGTAAAAGTGGGCAGAAGCAGAGCAATAACCCCTGAGCAGAAAAACCACATAGAGTTGAGAAAATCCTCTCTCGTCGGGCCAGGAGAGCAGCCAATGGAGGCCTGTCACCTCAGCACTGTTACCTGTTAAGCACTTATCGGTAACTCTGTGGGCAACTCACGACCAGGCTCTTGCACAGGGCTTTGCAGTTTCCCCAGCACCGTCACTTGTGGTGTCCTGCTTAAGAGAGACGCCTCCTACTTTCCGTGCTACTGTGTCAAAATTGATGTTCACAGAAATTAAGAAAGAAGCCTGAGGGCCGTGGGTGGAATGTTAGGTCGTGGAATCACAATATGATTTGTAGACTTCTAAATTAAAATCTTCCCTCTTTTTACCTCTGATGAACCCAGAGAGAAAACAGCAAATCATACAGATCCTAAATTCCTAAATGATAGGAAAAGCTTGGGCTTTTCCCTGAAAGTAATGGTGCATATCATCATATCGTTTCTTCTTCTTTCTTTCTTTCTTTCTTTCTTTCTTTCTTTCTTTCTTTCTTTCTTTCTTTCTTTCCTTCTTTTTTCCTTTTTGTCTTACTAACAGGCATACAAATTCACTGTGCTTAAACAAAGAGATTATTGCCACTGTGATTTTCTTAAGAAATTCTGGGGAGTGTCTAGTGCTGGAAGAGTATGCATAATCGCACCAGGCATCAGACGTTTGACACGCTGTTTACTCAGTCTTACAAATGCCCGCTGTGACCTTAGGCCAAGACTGTTTTATCAGTTGTTCTCAAAGATTAAGAATAAACACGTTTCCTAACCCTGGGTCTGCCTTTCCTAATCCCATACCTATATTCCTAAACCCTATGCTGAAAGAGGAAGCAATACGCAAGCAACTCTAACCCTAATACTATACATTAAAATGCTAATGGAGTCAACATGCATTAATTGAGCACTTACTATAAATTAGACATTGATGCCAGAGGCTGGGTTTTACATGAATGAAGGCCTGTCCATCCTTACCTTTATTAGTCTTACAGCTAGAGGTATCAAAGCATCCAGGCACATGCAGCACAGTTCACAAAGGATAAAATGGGAGGACAGTGAGATGTAAGAGTCTATCACCTGGAATTAGAAGACAGGAGTTCTTGCGGAGTATCTGAGAGTAAGGGCCACCTGTGTAGCTTAGTTTAACTTGTTCTCTGGGTGATTCTCATCTGTGACCAGGTTTGAGAATCATTGGGCCTATACTGAGACAAATTTAGAGTCAAAACTACATGAATTGTCTCTGAATTCAGGTTGAAATCTTATGAAAACTCAAAGTAAACACTTTTAAAATGGGTTTCTTTTTTATTAGATTTTTAAAAAAACACCAATCCGAGTTCCCACTCCCTCCCTCCTCCTATTCCCTTCACACACCCTCCCACCCCACCCTCCATCCAATCCTCAGAGAGGGTAAGGCACATTGCCTTGTAGAAAGTCCAAGGCCCTCTCTTCTATATCTAAGCTGAGCAAGGTATACATCAAACGAGAATAGGATCCAAAAAAGCCAGTACATGCAGTAGGGATAAATCCTGGTGCCACTGCCGGTGGCCCCTCAGTCCGTCCCAGCCATGCAACTGTCAACCACATTCAGAGGGACTGGTTTGATCCTATGCTTGTTCCTTCCCAGCCTGGCTGGAGTTAGTGAGCTCCCATTAGCTCAGGTAGACTGTTTCAGTGGGTGTACCCGTTGTGGTCTTGACCTCTTTGTTCATATTCTCATTCCTCCTACTCTTCAGCTGGACTTCGGGAGCTCAGTCCAGTGCTCTGATGTAGGTTTCTGCCTCTGTTTCCATCAGTTTCTGGATCAAGGTTCTATGGTGATATTTAAGATTTCATTAGTCTGATTACAGGGCAAGTCAAGATCAGGCCCCCTCTCCTCTATTGCTTAGGGTTTATCTGGGGTCATCCTTTTGGATTCCTGGGAATTTCTCTAGAGCCAGGTTTCTGCTAACCCTATAATGACTCCCTCAAGCAAGATATCTCTTTCCTTGCTCTCATCTCTGTCCTTCCTCCATCTCAACTATCCCATTCCCTCATGTTCTCCCCAACCCACCTCTTCTCCCTCCTCTTCCTCTTCCACCCTCCCTTCTCCCCTCACCCCATTCCATACATTTAATGTGTAAATGTGCCACACTCTCTTTATCCATTCTTCAGTTGAGGGGCATCTAGGTTGTTTCCAGGTTCTGGCTATTAAAAATAATGCTGCTATGAACATAGTTGAATGAATGGCTTTGTGGTATAATTGAGCATCTTTTGGGTATATGTCCAAGAGTAGTATTGCTGGATCCTGAGGTAGGTTGATTCCCAATTTTCTGAGAAACCACCATACTGATTTCCAAAGTGGTTGTACAAGTTTGCATTTCCACCAGCAGTGGATGAGTGTTCCCCTTATCACATCCTCTCCAGCATAAGCTACCACTGGTGTTTTTGATCTTAGCCATTCTGACAGGTGTAAGACGGTATCTCAGACTTGTTTTTATTTGCATTTCTCTG